GGCGATGCAGTGGTGGGAGAAGGCGGGAGCCGTGGAGCAGTCCAAACTTGCGGGGGAGCCGCTGCCGTGCAGGTCGTCGCAGGTCGAGCGTCTCAGGGCCGAGTGCGTTGCGCATGTGGCGCGGGGCGACGCGACACCGTTTGTGCGGCGACCACGCCCGGCAAATAGCGAGCGTGACGACGTGTTTCCCAGCGACGCTTTCTCGACTGCTACCGGCAAGGACACCATCAGCGGGAGGATGGCCAGTTTGACGGGCTCTTTCCGTGGTGACGCGGCGCTGACTGCGCCAGGAAGTGGCACAGTCAGCTTGGAGGTGGCTGCCGGGTGCCTGCCACGTCAATTCACGGACCACCTGGGGGGCGTCTGGAGGCGCGCCTTGAATCCGATTGAGGACGCTGCCACGGATGCCACTCCTGTGTACATGGGCATCTCCGCCACCGGGACGCTCGCGGTGCTGAAGATATGTCCGCTGACGGATGCGGCTTCCCGCCTCTCACACGCTGAGGTGGACGCTGCGCTGAAGGAGTTGATGGATCTTGGGTTCCACGACAGCCTTGTTCAGTACCTCTCGTATTGTTACGTTCCGCCTCGCTTTGTGGTTCTTGTGACGCAGTACGTTCCTGGTGGTACTCTGCGCGAAATGAAGGCTCGGTATGGCTGCAAGCTGCCACTGACTGTTGTGAGGCGGAACGTCGCGTCGATGCTGCGGGGATTGGCGCACCTTCATGGGCTCGGGCTGGTCCATGGACGGCTGTGTCCCGAGAACGTGATGGTTGGCGTGGAGGGGCGGTGCCGACTGAAGGGGATGCTGTTAGGTGCCGCGCCGCTGGTGATGCATCACGAGTCGTACTATATGAGCCCCGAGGTGGCCGCCGGTGGTGCGAAGACGGCAGCGAGCGACATGTACGCGCTGGGGCTGCTGCTGCTCGCAATGCTGGCAGACTCCCACCCCTGGCAGTGGAGTGCGACTGCGACGCCGGATCGCTCTCGGAAGGAACTTGACTCGCTGCTTGCAGACAGTGCGGTGTTCCGCGAGGCGTTGCGCGATGGGCTGGTGGAGCCGGTGCCGCCCCCCGCAGACGTCGAAGACACGCTGCGAGCTGTGCTAGAGGCGTGTCTCCGCTTCACTCCAGAGGAACGCTC